TCATGACCGTCCAATATATGTGGAGCTGGTTTCTGCGTTGAACAAACACACGCACAGATAGATAGATAGATAGATAGATAGATAGATAGATAACTGGCAGCTTTTTTTGAGGGGTTCTCGCCACGTCCCTCCTTCCAAAGTACTTAATATCTGAATTTGAAGGGAAGGCCACAAACTTTGTCGTATCCCACCTCTCACTTTCTCATTCACACACACAAACATATATTCATGCACATATACACAATCATACAAACTTTCTTGGTCACTTCGACGTGGTGTAAGCGTGTCTCGCTAGATCAATTACAACTGACTTGTGAGTTCGATCCTTACTGGGTGCCTCATATTTTCAACCTTGTGCCACATCTAAGCTCCCCTTAGAAAATCACCATATAGAAACGCTATGAGTGTGTGCGGATGTCTGTAATTTCACCTCTCATCTTGATTTATTAACTGTATTTTGAAGAACACTATTTTCCCCATTTGCTATCTGAGGTTTTTCAAAGGTTTTCTTACATCCCTCTCTAAGGTCTCCTGAAATACTGTTGATTGTACAATGAAGAAGAGAAAAATTAAACTTAAAAATTCTGTTTAAGGCAAAAAACAACAAAAAATCGAAATATCTAGTCTCCATCTAACCTCATGAACCGAAAAATTAAAAAAAAAAGTCATTGTGTGATAACTTTTTTTTTTTTTCGATAAGAGTCAGTCTTTCGCTCAGATTTATTTACTCGATAAATCGTTAACTCATATCTGACCATCAGCAAGTTTATTTACTTCATTACGGATCCTAACCACCATTTTCTTTTTTTCTTTTTTTAAATATTTGCTCCTCCACCATTCAATAAAGGTGTTTACTTCACCAATGTGTAGCACAAATTCGCCGCAAAACTCAATTTCTAAAAAAAAAAAAAATATTTACTACGGCAAATAGAAAAGGAATTATATAGTAGGAAGATTGTGTTGTGCCAATCTCCTACATTTAGTACTTGGGCACGACAACTGCCACCGGCGATATATCCAGTTATCTAACATACCAAGCCGATTTTTAACTGATATGATTCACCTTTCTTCCACTATTATTGCTTTCTCTATTCCTCTGTATTTTTGTTTAGTTTACCCTAGGCAGTACTGCTTTGGATCCAAATTGAAAATGCTTCTATAACCCTTTTTTTTTCAGTTTTATAGTTACCATTAAAAAATTACGCCTCATTTGTCTAGAAGTGCCCTTAATCACGCCAAAGCATTATTGCTTCTGACCTGTCACATCAAACCAACCAGAATCCTTGTGTTTAGTGATGATTCAACAATGTTAGAACTATTTGTTTTTTTACAGACTGGCGTAGGTGACAGAAGTAATCTCGTGAAACAGCGAGCGCTTGAGATAAGCAACCAGAGACACGAACTATTAGGCCAAATGATTATTAAGCCCTTAGCTTAAGAAGACTAAGACTTAAAGAAGCAGGAAATTCATGCGATTTTTTTATATTTGAAAGAACTGGATTATTAAAAAAAAAAAAAGCCAAAACAAACGCAGCTACTTCAGCCACTGAATAGTTTAACAAATCTTTGCAAAAAGAAAAATAAATACCGCATCTGCTGAGGATTGAACTCACTACACGAATAATCTTGTATCCGGAAAGAGCTAAATAAACAGTGCATTATGCTGTTAAAACATCTTCGGTAACCATTACTTCGATGACTACAAAGCCTCCTTTCACAGATCTATTTGTGATTGCAATTAGTGTGCCCTTCACTAAGCTCACAAGTATACTGGCCTTGTTCAAGACTAAGTTAAACATATGTATGTATCCACGTGTGTCTCATAGATAGATAGATAGCTAGATAGATAGAGAGAGAATATATGGAAATCAAATTTACTAAAATTAGCCTAGTCAGGAACAAGTCTCCAATATTAGGGATTTTTTTGCTAAATGGATTTGTTAAACGTTCGCTTACCTGAAGTGACCAAAATATTAAACAAAAAGATGCCGTAGAACTAGGGTTTCACAACTAGTCTGTCTTTTTTTTAACAGCAAGGTTCACTCTGTACAAAGCCCGGTGGCCACTTGTGATAAAACTAAAAGTTTACGTTAAGGGGGAGTTTATACGGATAGGAAGGGAAGAAACGTTCTCGCCTGCTAAATCTTCTCTTGGTGCAATTTATACCATAGCCTCTTTCCATATAGAGTACATAAGTGAATGAGTGTGTGTTGTTTATTGAAACTTTGTCAAAATTTGATTGGACCCAGCCAAAACTCGAAGAATTTGTTTTTTTTAATTGATCATGCCGATCACCTCTAACCCATGAATGTTCATATTTTTTCTTACTAAAAATCTGCTGCTTTTGTAAAAATTGTTTTCAAGTTTTTGACATTTTATCAGTAAAAAAAATTATGAAAATACTGCGAAACACTTTTTATTTTAAAAGTACAGGGTGTTTCAAAAGTCGCGCGACAATTGGCAGAAAACACATACGTGTGAAATAGCGACCAGGGAAAATTTGCATGACATCATCTTCCATAATTCGACCAACAAAATTTCTTAAATAATATATTGTTACATAGAGAAACCTGATTTCGTTTGGTAAATAAATATCAAATTTACAAAGATATCAATGGTAATGCGAGTTTTGAAACACCTTGTACACCTCATAATGCAGACAATGGAAAGGGTTGATGAGCCGTAAAAAAACGAATCAATCAATGAAAATCAGAAATCAGAAATTATTTATATTTTTAGTTTTGACAGCATCAAGAATGACTGAAAATGATAAATAGCAGAAGAGAAAAAGTAGCAGAGTAGCTGGAAGAATATTAAGGGAACGATTAATTTCCTTATTGAGCGGTTTACGGCAGTCGTTAGTTAAACTGAAATATATATATATATATATATGAAAACGAATATTGAAGTAATCACTCTTTTTGCTAAAAAAAGTCCAATTTAAATTTTGAGCTGTAATGTGACCAGTAATAATGCCCCAGGAAAAAAAAAAAAAAAAAAAAAAAAACACAATTTGGTTTTACGAGTGACATGTTTTGGTATATGAATCCATTGTAGCAGATTTTTCAACCACGCTTGTATTACTGTCAATAATTTCCATGGCAGGAGGCGTCAAAATTATTTTTCACTAAATCCAAGAATTGTTTATCTACAAGACCACCAACATCTCCACTATTCAGGCTCTTTAGGTTTAGGGTTTTAAAAAAAAAGTATATTAAACAAAGACACCGAACCAGTGCTGCTAAACATTGTCCTGATTTTTTTTATCTGCATTCGATATTACATCTACTGTCGTTCTAAAATTAACCCCTTAAAGATCGCAAACAATAGACAAAAAAAAAAACAACAACTTTTCTATCATTTGTCGAATGAGTTAGCAGTTCGTTTACTTCGTAGTCTTGTTAAAAGTAAAACTTCCACTGCTGTTGAAGCCTTGAGCGGAAGGCCCGCCAGAGAAATAACTTTTTATGTGAGTGTGTGTGTGTGCTGGTAGATGTTTAAAAACATTTAGTTTTTTTTCTTTTTTTTTTAGGTGGATAATAGCATCAAGTTGGCAAGAGCGTAGCGTTTTAATGCAATAACGTGAAACATTGTATTTTTTTTTTTTACTTTTTTCCAACAGGCATATTCATCTCTTTTTTTTGTTATATTGAATAACGGGTGTTGTGTCGTCGAATAAGCTTCTTGAGTGACCGAAATTGAAGATATTTGCTCGCCGTCCACACACATCAACAGTAGCCATAGTAGCGGAGAGGGTAAACTTTGGACGACCTACCTTTCATAAAAAGAAAATGAGTCGTGTGCCGCATGTATGTATGTGTATATAAGTTTATGAATTTTATCTCACTTTTAAACTGACCGGAGTCATCTTCTACCATTGTGTGATGGTAAATAACTAAAGGCTTTCGAGTAGGGCACTAGGCCAAATTGTAGTATGGGAGGAGGTTTTTTTTATATATACAATCTGCCAAGTAAAGAGGGCTGACCATCCTTTTTGATGTTTTGAAAAGGTCAACATAAGAAGACGTATGTCAAGTCTGTGTAAAAGGGGAAATAGCTTGTTTTTATATTGATAAGAACCACCTTTTTATATTTAAAATGATCGAAAATATTATTGATGCACTGTACAGTGCTTTAATGTTTACCTAGCCCCTAAAATATTCCCTTGAGAAAAGTGGGGAGAGGGACCAATAGAAAGTAATCAAAATAACAGAGTGGAAGATATTCGCTACTAGTTCAGGAAATTCATCAACTCGTGACAATACTTCATCTCAAAACTGCAAACAGTGAACCATAGTTATTATTCAACCATTTATGAACATTTTTTTCTTTAGTTTTGATTTATCGAAACATGTGGCAATTTTCTAGTTTACAGTCGCGCCAAATATAAACAATTTGAATATAACAGATAATTTATACAACACTTGCATGAAAAACTTTTAAAATATTATTCCAGAAACCGAAAATAACCGATTTCTGGTCAGAACCTTCAGCTCTGTTCATAATTGCATTTTAGTTTCGAAATACACGTGAACCAGTAGTGTTCATAATATAAGTAACATTACTAAAATGGATATTTAATTATTCTTAAAGATTTATCATAAGTGTATAAATGACATAATACAAGGTGTATAGAAATATATTAATTCTTTATTTTTAATTTCTGTGTATTACTGGCGACTGTAAACTAGAAAATTACCCAAAAAATACCAGTATTAAATTAATTTAAAACTATAAAAACAACTTTCAGTTTGTTAATTTTTAAACAGAGATATTTCGTGACAACTTAGTTGTTTGATTCAAAGTGTATGCACTGATCACAATTTCTATTTTTGATATAGAAATAATTGGAGATATCGTAAATAAAAATATTTATTTGAACAATTTAAGCCTTTTTTCTCTCTCTTTTATTTTTGTTCGTATACGCTTTTGAGTCCTTGTAAATAAAGTTTAGAATCTCTTTTTGTCTTAAATACAGGAATAATTAATTATTCATTGATCAATCAATCAGAAAATCACTTTTTGTTAATAAGCTTTGGAGAAAAAAAAATAATAAAAAAATAATTAGAAAAAAATCACATCACCTGTTTTCATTGTTTTTTGTAACATTCAATTAATACTTTTTGCATTTTTTTTACTATCATACATTCAGTAATTTATGTTTGCTTTTTCGGCCATATCTCATGCACACAAAGGTGTTTCTCTAAACACACGCACACATAAACACGCACACACAATTTCTTATATACACTATCACACTCGGGTCCCTACGTTTTTAGGAACCACCTTTTGCCCTTGAATTTTCATGAGGGACACAGGAGCCTGTTGGTAATTTCCGTGGTAGCTGTGTTTCCGCCGTGAAAAGCGACTGTGAAAAAAATTCTTCCAAGAGTTAATTGTCTTATAACTCCAAATCCACATGCCGCTGGTAATTCCGACAATGAGAGACATAAAAATCTTGAGCATGTAGACCTCCACGGTCGGTATGGAATGCGATAGGGCGCAGTCCTTCGCACCATTTCGACTTGTCCGACACCGACGACGCATCGCCTCTGTTTTCCAGTTATCAAAGTTGAGACGTTCGTAAAGGTAACATCCAATTACACAAGTGGCCGGCACCGTGTACAATACGGAAAAGATACCGATTTTTGCCATAAGTTTTTCCAGCTTGCGAATGTTGGTACCGTCCTGTTTCAAGTTCCGACGTATCTTAAACATGGCAAAAAACCCGGCAAATATAAAAAGAGTGCCGGTGAGGAGATAGGTTATTAAAGGCGCGAGTACAAATCCAGTTAGGGCGACCACGTCCTGGTTGCCGACAAAACAGAGGCCGGTTAACTCATCACCATCTACACGTCGCATAGTTAGAATGACGATGGTCTTCACCGCAGGGATAGCCCAAGCAGCCACATGAAAATAACTACTAAGAGCTTCTATCGCCTCCTGGACCCACTTTCGCCCGGCCGCCAGGAACCATGTCAGGGTTAGGATGACCCACCAGATGGCGCTTGCCATCCCAAAGTAATATAGTATCAAGAAAACAACAATGCACCACGTGCTTTCCAGGCCTTCTTGGATGAGAAATTCCGTACCGTCCCGTAACCTGTCACACGATATAGAGTTAGGGCCGGTGATACCCCGTATCATGTAAGCACCCGAATAGATTGCGTAGCACATGGATAAGAAGATTATCGGCCTTTCCGGGTATTTGAAACGTGAAGTGTCGATCGCGAATGTCAGGACGGTGATAGTTGTCGAAATGCAACAGAAAGCAGCCCACACAAGTAGCCAAATCTCGGCGAAGCGTTTATCCTCTTGTTTGAAGTAAACATCAATGTTACAACGGGGTGCACACGAATAGTTGCGACCCCCGAGTTTATCGACGTAAACAAAACGATCCGGACAAGGGGAATGGATTGAGGATCCTGGTTCCCGACCTAGCCCGTAAGGGCCGAACCGTAATTTTTTGCCCGTAGACTCAGTTGTTTTCTCCTTAAATGACTGCACGATGCTCCACCATTCGGCATTGACAGTCTCCGGTTGAAGGTCTGGGTCGTCTGTCACGTTGGGGGCTTCCATGCACAAGTGCTTTTTGTTCGAGTTCTCCGGCAGCTGCTGGCAATCCAGCGCCACCGGCCACGAAAACATCAGGTTCTTAAGCACGGGTTCGCATTTCGATTTCACCTCAAGGCACATGGACCGACATGCCGACACAACAAGGGCGGCATTCACCATTTCAGTGCACATCGGGGCATAGAAAGAGCAGAGGAAGAAACGAAGAAGTTTCGAGCATCCGAGTTCGACGAGAGGCAGAAACTCGTGCACCTGTATAGCAGCGTCCTTCTGGTTTATATGCCCTAAGAGGTTGGGCATTTTTGTCATGTTGTATCGCATATTCATACACATTGGAATGGTAATCCTTTCGCATCGTTCGTAATGCCTTTCCGACGGTGATGTAAATCCACTAACCGGGCCCTGGGCAAAAGAAGCTAGAAGCGCTATTAAAAACCACAGACAATTCATAGTAAGATAAAGTTTAATCCCACGTTGTTTCTGTTTAATTAAAAAAAAAAAATCTTTAAAAATCAAGTTTTTTTTTTCTCTTTCGCCACAATGTTTAATTTTACTTTTGTATAGTTTCAACGTGTAAGTAATATTTTCATTCTTATTCCAGTACCTCCTTGCGTCTCAGCTTTAATTTTCGTCCCAACGAACGCTCCAGAACGACTGACAAAACAATTGATAAGAAGCATGAAAACACAGTTGATATATCAAAAAAGTAACATCCGTGAATCGGCCTCTGTTTATTTCTAATGACGATGAGCGATTAATTGCTAACATAAATGCTGAGAATGTGTATTTTTCTCTTGTGTTGTGGTCAGCTCAACTCCGGTTGTGATGATAAAAGCTATAAACCAGTAGTAGTAGCAGTAACATTCAATGACGACAACCTCGTGTCAGGAGAAGACAGAGGCCTTCCGTGCCTCTGTCTGCTGTGTACTGCCTCTTTGCAGTACTGTGAAAAGACCACGCATTTACCACGACTTCATACAGTACGGGTTTTCACCAACTCAATGTGTTTATGTGAAGCACGGCAAATGCTCGTCCTGATGTGTACGTGTGCCGAACACATGGTGATTGGGCAAGTACATGCGTACATCTCTGCTTTTCTCTCGTCATTCCGTTCTGTGTACGTGTGTTTGGCCGTGTGGAGTTGAAGAGAGGCAGAAGCGACCGACTTACACTCACTATCAAAAACGTATCCGTCCGCTCGGCTACCTTACCCTCCTCTGTACGGTGAGTTTCAGATTTATTTTCCAAATCTTATCATCAACTTGAAATGTTACAGATTTTGAAGTTTCCCGATAAACTGTTTTCCAGGGTTAGGGTACTTTTTTGGAGAGTAATTATTAAAAAGTTGAGCACTATTTTAACTGTTAATCTCGACCGACAAACAGGCGGAGGGATACGTCCAGGGTGAAATAGAAAAAAAGTGGGAGGAGCTATGTAAAACCTCTGATGTTTTAACTGCTGCTATAAGTGAGAAAATGAGCAGTTATAGCTTCAAAGCCAACAATAAGAACAAATGGGTTTGTCAATCAAAAATGACTGATACGTTTTAGGGACACACCCATTTGTTATATACACGCCCCACCTAAGTGTATAACAACGAATATCACTCGTCGTAGCGTTAATTTTCAAACGTTGCGACAAGTTATTTTCTTATATAGTTTGTAAATAAAATAAAAAAAATACAATCTTAGTTGATATAAGACTATCTTATCATACACTCAACTTCGAGAGATATGATAGATATTATTTTAGGGTATGCGTATGTGTGAGAGCGTACGTTTGTGTCTGTGTGTGTGCGCATACGTACTTTTGTGTCTGTGTGCATGCGTGTGTGTATGTTTGTGGGTGGGTTCCGGTGTGTGTTTGTGTGTGTGTGAGAGAAAGGATGAAAAGTTAACAAAATTAGTCTTTAGATGAACAAACATAAACATAGTGATTTTAAATAGTAGATCGAACCAGAAATTTTTAGTGCTACGCACACACATTTGTATATACAGTGTAACCCGGATATAAGAGAGTTGTCGGGACCAGAAGTCTCTTATATCCGGGTTTCTCTTATATCCGGGTTTGGTCTATTTTATATACATTAACACAGGCTCTAATTTGGGACCAGAGAAAATCTCTCTTATATCCGGGTCTCTTATATCCGGGTTACACTGTGCGTTGAATTTTTGAGCAAACATTTTTGTAAACAGATACAATTTTATAATTAAGCCTCTTGAGTGGATTTAATCTCGGCACAAAATTAAAGTAGGAACAAAAGATGTTAACTTTTAACTTTATTTGTTAGTATCTTCCTCCTCTGAATATATAGCTGATACATCCTGATGAGTGGACGGAGTGATTGCTGGAGTGTCCGTCTACGAAACTCTAAATTCAGGATGCTGAATGTAACACCATTCAGCTAAGTGACAAATTATATATATATATATATATATATATATATATATATATATATATATATATATATATATATATATATACATAATTTATCACTTAGCTGAATGGTGTTACATATATATATTGTAATTAGATACTGTGATTTGCTTGAAAATGTCTTATTATACTATATATTTAAATATTCAGAAACTTTCAGTTTTATTTTAACAAAACTCAGTATTACCTCCGGCTAATATTAAGGTTATTTAGTATTTACTGACATTGGTAAATATATGTTAAAAATAAAAGTATGTCTCTTTTCCTCGTTTTATATATACTTTTAAACCCTTGTATAATGTATTCAGGCTTTCGTCTTTCAGGTAAGGAATTCTACTGATCATTTGTGTCAGTACTTCCTTGCTAGAGTGAATTGTCATTCTCATCCTTTGTCTCATAGTTCAAAACCGTGGTATACCAGTAAGAAAACAGTTTTGTCAATATATGTAGCGTGTAACAGAATGTAGTCAATTATGTGCCATGCGTGATACACGCGTAGGCGATCATGTATCTTTCGATACATGAGTGTCAAAACAGATTTTTTCCCGCAGTAGGTTGCCATTTCTTTCTATAGACCAGTTGCCATCAAAGGCTATAGAACCCAGTGTGTCTTGCTATTTACCCATTGCTTGGAGGAGAGAAGAGGATTCATAACTTTCCCAAGGTTATTAGTACGTAAGTGACTATAATGGATTCGACTGGAATTCGAACTCGGTTCTCCGATTCCTTAATCCGAGACGCTATCCAATACTCCACCGTGCCTCCATAACTTTCTCATTTAAATAGCCTCAGCCTGAATTAAAACTACCAAACAACTTCCTTTCCTGAGCAATTATTACTCTTCTTCTTCTTCATAGGCAAACATGATTCTCCACAACATTCTACCTTGTATGGCTCTTAGCAGTTTTGCTCCCTTTGTTTAAAGCCCCCATTCTGCCATCTATTCACACGAGTTTGTCAGGTGAGTGACTCGCTATCTTCCCTATCTCTCTTGCTTTCTATATGCCTCGCGAGAGTTATGCTTTCCAAGCACTCTTTCCTCATTATGTGTCCAAAGAATTTCAGTTGTCTTCTTGTTGATATATTCATTCATTGTTGTTTGCTCGCTCGCTTGCTCCCTCCATGGAATTCACAGTATCCTTCTGTATAACCACGTTTCTGCTGCTTATAGTTTTTTTTCTTCATTCTTAGGAAAATTGTCATTCACTGCCATCTAAAAAGATGGATACCGCTTCAACTGGCCCGTTCCAAATTTGATAATCATCCGTATAAATCTGACTGGTCTTTTGAACAGGAGTAGAGGTTTATTCCTTGATTCGTGTTTAGGGATGGGTTTCCGGTACTTTCTAAAGTCTTTTCCTTTTCTTTCAGTTTCAGTCGCCCATTGCGTTTTGGTGGCATTATCACCTTGTTTAGGGTAGTGCCTTTGTAACCGTCTACCTCGATTGGCTCTTGGGTGTTGTACAGGGTGAACATCATTGTAAACAAAATAGTTCCATAAAATTTAAGTCTTATACTCTATAGTAGGAGAGTCAGTAAGGATCGAACTCTCTACGCAAACAGTTATTCTTTAACCGGCCATCTACAACAGCTTAGTAAACATCATTACACGACAGGCGCTCTAACATTAGGGGGTATTTACTCAAATTAACAAGCATTTGGCAAAAGGTTACAAACATGGGGCACACAGTGAGAATCAATCTCGCTACAGTTTTAAAACTTTTGAGGGAGTTATTGCTCTATCATAGGCGCCTTTTTTATCAAAATAAACGCCTTACAGATGAAAAAAGAGACTTGAAGCAACAGAAATGTGTTTCTACAGAAGGATGTTGAGAATAGCATGAACCGAACATGTGAGCAACGACGAAGTTCTATAGACAATGGAAACAAAAAGGACATATACTTAAAATTAGAAAGAGACAGCCGAAAACTCTAGCGCACATAATGAGGAAAGAAGGCTTGGAAAGATTGATATTCACAGGACAGATCGAATACAAGAGAGACAGAGAAAACCAACGTATGACCTAGCCGGTGAGATTGAGTAAATGGATGGCGGAGCAGGGTTTCGAAGACATGACGAAAAAACAAAATTTATTGAACGCTACAAAAGGCAGGGAATTGTGCGCATCTGTGATCGCCAACGTCAAAAAGAGACACAGCAAACACACGAAGAAGGATGCCCTTCCACAATGACCCCATAGTATGGCATTCAGTGAGAATCATACTCATTGCACGAGCAAATTGTTCAGAGTGAGCAGATTAGGCGTCCAAGTATTGTGTCTTTTAAAACAAGAGCTTTTTTTTTTTTTTTTAAATCTAACATCATTGCGTATTACCATATTTAGTGGGTAGATGGATTTGAATAGATCCCTGTTTTTTTTAACGGTTACATTAATATCTATCGGCCTAGAGATCAAAAGTCTTAATAAAAAAAATGACATCTTTGTTAAATCTTTCGATCTCTCGACCAGTTGACATTAATTGTAGTATTTATATAACCTGTTCGTCTATTCAAACACGCGTAACCACTTAATATAATGTTTATGGTATTCATTTTATCGTACCTGCATATTTATAAAGGTAAGGTAGTTTTGAGGATTAAACGCTTAGAAGATTGGCTCAGCATTCATCGATCTATAGCAAAATAAATAAAAACGATACAACAAATAGCTGAGTTTAATCTGATGTAAAATTAGTGGCTTCATTTTAATACATAGAGCCTAAATCCTGAGAATGGATCTCCTTACATTAGCGAATTGATTTTGTTTTTAACTATCACTCTATGGCAGGTGACAATGTGTTTAGTGTGGTTGAGCAAAGTAAAGAACAAATACAAATAATTTCAACTCAACGAGTAAAATTTT